GCTGTGTTTACATTTAAAGTCATACTGAAAATCACTAGAATTAGATATGTCCAAATGAGCTTCAATGGTGTATCTGTAAAGATAATAGGATGCTTTTGTAATACCAAAATAGAAACTTAAAACACTCAAAGTTATCATTTCCTTTAAGAATGGAACTTTTTAGTTTCAAATCTATAAATAAAAATAATCGAATTAAAAATTTAAATTAAAAAATTAAAAAATAAATAAATTTTATTATTTATTTAATATTTAATTTTTCTATCAAATAATTGAATTCTCTTTTGTAGAAATAGAGAATATTGAAGAAACAGAAGCATTCACTTCTCAATATGAAGAAGGTCCATTGCGGTATATCTATTAATTGAAATTTTTTTTCTATGAAAATGACTGAGTTCTTATACCAAAAAAAATAATAATAACAAAAATAGTAATAAAAAACTTTTCCTCTTCAAGTAGGAAAAAAATCTAAAATATTCCTTCGATTGAATAACAAACTTATGCTATTTAAAAAGAAAAGAACTTAATTGAGTTCAATATGAAAAACCTTATTAAAAAAACACAAACACCTAGACTAAGAATGAGTAAACAAAGTAAAAGTAGTCATAAATCATCAAGTAAAATGGATTCATCAGTATCATTGTCAATATCAGAGAGTGATGAATTAGATTTAGAAGATATTTGGGTAGAAGTTTGTTAAAAATGAAGAAGAAAGAATTAACAAGAAAAAAAACAAAAAGTTTATTCTTATAGAGTCTTACGTCATTAAGTCCAGAAATAACAAGTGCAGTATTTAATTACATTTTAAGACCAAGTTTAGAAGAACAAGAAAAAAAGAAGAATGCTATGATTTTACTTTCATTTTATAATGCATGTAATAAAATTCCAGAACTTATTGATTTTTGTGTTGAAAGAGATTATTATTGGAAATTAGACGATGTTTCAAAGTATTCACCATATTCAACTATTCTTTCATCTATTATCCACGTGTCATATCAAAATTTTTTTCATGAAA